TATCTGTAAAATGGGAATGCTAAGGTTGGCCTTGTGTGGCTATTTGGGGATTTGAATGATTTAATGTATTTAAAGGGCCTCATGTATCATCTGGCTTAGTATGAGCTCAAAGAATAGCAGTTTTTGGGTCAGGGAGATTATACAGTGGGTAGGGTGTTTGCCTTGCAGGTATCAGGCCTGGGTTCAATCTGTGGCATCACAAATGATCCTTTGAGCTTCACCAGAAGAAAGCACAGCCAGGTGTGGCACCAAACCCAACCCAACCCAACCCCAAATAAACAAACAGAAAAAGAATAACATTTCTTAGTTTGGTTCCCTTTCTCTACACTGCAAATAATTTATAAGTAATATTGGGATATGACTGTTAATAAGTTTCTTATTAACATACAACATCCAGAATAGGACATGAGCTATTGAATTTAACCTGCTTATATGCAAAAATAATTTTGTAAAAACAATTTGAAAACGATTTTTTCTAGACTAAAGATTCCTTGTGTATTATCTGCCCTGGAATCCTAGGATACTTTCCTACACATTAGAATCTCAATAGAATTAAATCTCAACAATGATAATTTTTATAACTTCCTAAATTAGCCATTAATAATTAGTCTGTCGGTAATTAGGAAGTAACATAGCAAATTGGGTCTCATCTGTGCTCTTAAAGACCTTTTCTTTCTCCTGCCCATCACACATGGCTCCTCTTCCTGTGTCTTTTGGTCTGGTCTTGCCCCATTTACAAAGCTATTCCTCCAGGGAACACATAACTTACTTTTGCGCAACCAATCGCCTTCCCAGGGAAGTACCTGTGTAGAGAGGCCACTGGGGAAGAATTTCCTGAAATCCCAACAACTGATTCATAATTTGGAAGTCTCTTAGGATTCAGAAACTTCAGAACTGTGGTTTTTAAAATTGTAGGGCTAAATTCTATCAGAAATAGCCCAGGAAATGGAATAAGCAATGAAAAAAGATCCATATTTCCTGATAAATCCTAACCTAAACTAAAGACTCCTGTTTCCTTATAAATTCTAGCCCAAGCTAGTCACAGATTCCTGGATCAAAACAAAACAGCTACAACTCTCTAGATTTAACCCTGGGGTTAGCCCCAGGGCCCCGTTGAGCGTGAATGGACACAGCTTCCAGCCCAGTAGTGGCTAGCAGTTGGAAAACCTAAGTTCAGAGGAGTAAAGTGAAGCCTTGTTTGATAATATCGTTTACATTTCCAAATCCTGGGTATCAAGCTTTCTTCCTTTCCCTTGTGGCCCTTCCTAAGTTTAGCCTTGGTGTAATGGGGTAACCATGGCTACAACCACCTGCCTATTTAAAATGTCTCCAAAGCTAAATAAGGAAGGCTGAAGAAAATGGCTGCTCGCCTGCCTCTCAGTGGACAAATCAGGCACTTCTGGGTGTTCTCAGTAGGAGCAAATAGGACCCGGGTGGCAGCAGTATGGACTCAAAATTCCCAGTGGAAATTGTTCTGGAGCTTGGGGGACGGGACCTCCTTCCAGCCCACAGTGTTTTCACTCCTCAGCAGGCACATGAATTTGCATGTGATCCCTGTTCCTCCAAGGTTTAGGACTGTACTACCCTGATTCCAGCCTGGTGAGGTGTGCCCCTAATTGCAAGGAGTTGTGTTAATAATGTAAACCGGCCCGCCTGCTCCTCTCTGGAAAGAAAGATGGCGGCCGCACGGGAGCCTTGTGGAAAGCGGGTTTGAGCCGGGCTCGGGGGAGCGGCGGGGACCTCATGGGAAGGGGGGCTTTGTGGGCCGTCCCCCACGCCCCACCAAGGTCGCCAGCTGCCCCCCACGAGCGGCTCTCCGGCACGGCCACGGCCCCGGAGGCACAAGGACTTAGCACAGAGAACCAGCCGCTTGGAGCAGAAAAGCAAATGGACTTGTGTTGATCCGCGCCACCAAGCCTGCCCGGAGGGGGAAGGGCGTTGACCAGCCCGCCTGCTCCTCTCTGGAAAGAAAGATGGCGGCCGCACGGGAGCCTTGTGGAAAGCGGGTTTGAGCCGGGCTCGGGGGAGCGGCGGGGACCTCATGGGAAGGGGGGCTTTGTGGGCCGTCCCCCACGCCCCACCAAGGTCGCCAGCTGCCCCCCACGAGCGGCTCTCCGGCACGGCCACGGCCCCGGAGGCACAAGGACTTAGCACAGAGAACCAGCCGCTTGGAGCAGAAAAGCAAATGGACTTGTGTTGATCCGCGCCACCAAGCCTGCCCGGAGGGGGAAGGGCGTTGACCAGCCCGCCTGCTCCTCTCTGGAAAGAAAGATGGCGGCCGCACGGGAGCCTTGTGGAAAGCGGGTTTGAGCCGGGCTCGGGGGAGCGGCGGGGACCTCATGGGAAGGGGGGCTTTGTGGGCCGTCCCCCACGCCCCACCAAGGTCGCCAGCTGCCCCCCACGAGCGGCTCTCCGGCACGGCCACGACTCCAGGGCACAGAAACCAATCTCTTAACTAGCTAACTTTTAATAGAAATTCTTCCAGGGTCAATAAGTAAAATAGCAGAAATTCAAAACCGCGCGGCCGCTATCTCGGCCGCGCGACCTCATTTTATTCTTAAACCAAGTTGTAGAAAGCAAATCATTTCACAACGCTGTTTCAGCATGTCTGATTGGGGGGGGGGGGTGGGTCGTAAGCTCTAAACAATAGTTGTGCATCTTCTATCGAAATAATCTATCTAGTCAAAGTAGATAGAGTATTAACTAGAACTCATCTGCCTCACAATAATTGGGAGGGGTGGGAGGTGGGGGTCTATTGGGGTTCGGGGTTAAAAATGAGTATTGGTAAAGGGAAATGTGTTCGGTATCTACATGACTGAGACCTAAACCCGAAAGCTCTGTAACTTTTCCCACAGTGATTCAATAAATAAATAAATTATAAAAAAAAAAAAAAAATAATGTAAACCGGGAAGAGGGAAGGGGGAAAAAAAAAGTCCTTCAGGTCATTGTGAAGTTGTTCAAACCTTGCGTCGAAATGCACAATTGCCACTTTATTTATTTATTTTTATCTGACAGAGGTGTCTTTCTAATTGCACTCAATCCTATGGATGAGTGATGATTTTTCTACTTATGTCATATGTTGACCTGTCAGTGGATTTCTGGAATAAGAACTTTCTCCCTGTTTCCTTGCTGTCTGCAAGCTACAAAGGTTTCACTTCTTTCTGTGCCAAAAGACCACTCAGTGGACTGGCTGGCACAGCTTGTCTGTTCCCAACACGCTCTCTGTCCCTCTCCTTCGGATTTTTTTTTTTTTTGGCTTTTTGTGTCACACCCAGTGATGTACAGGGCTTACTCCTGGCTCTGCATTCAGGAATTACTCCTGGTGGTGCTCGGAGGACCATATGGGATGCTGGGAATTGAACCCGGGTCAGCCACCTGCAAGGCAACTGCCCTACCTGCTGTGCTATCCCTCCAGCCTCTCCTTTGGATCCTTTTGTCCATCTGGTTCTTCTCCCAGGGTTGCTCTTTCCATAAGCAAGTGACTGTCTTGGTATAAAAGGATTTCCTGCTGGAAACCTTCACACCAAGTTCTGTGCTCTGGCTTTGAGTTCCCACAGGTCACCTCCATTCATTCACACCTCCTGATGCTAGTCTGTACGTATCTCTGCCTCCCAGCAGTGTGCCACAGGACAGAAAGTCCAGCTTGCACCTATGCCCAAGTCCTGAAGCTCAGTCCCTGCTCTGGAGTCCATCTTCAGAAGATCATTCAGCTCAGGGAATGGATGAATAGATGAACAGAACCTCACAGAATCTCGCAAGCACAAGGCATCTCAGCAAGACTGTGCACACGAATATGCGTACACGTGTAAGAATAACAGGGAAGAAAGGGCCTTTAAGTCTGGATTGGGTGGAAGTGGCTTATTTTAAGTGGTTCTGAAAATCTATGAGACATTTTATGAGAGGAAATTTGGAAGTTGGAGGCTATGTAGAAGTCATGTCTGTAGCATGTCCGAAGCCTGTGCGTGGGCTTTGTTGTGGGCCAGCAGGATGGGAAATGCCTGGATGCAATGCACACCGTTCTGTGGGTACTCGGCTACTCTTGGAGCCCACGGTCACTCTTTCCTGAGCCAGACTCTGTTGCAATAGCTTCATTACCTTCCATTTTGGATCCTTAAAACTCTTCTCTGCTAACCTCCCACAGGCAGCAAGGCCAGAGAGGAAGGAGGAAGGACTAAAACGGAGATCCTCAGAACGCACTTCTTGAACCGTCCTGCTACTAGACCTGGCCTTTGGGTGGTTTATATCAAGCAAAGCCCTTCCACGCTGTCTGAACCCCTTTTGCCTATCCACCAGAGACCCCTTGGGCCAGGTGAGCTGAACCCAGGGAAGGAAGAACGAATCAACCAAGGAGAAGAAAAAGAGAAAGAAAATGAAAGGTTGAGAGGGAGAGAGAGAGAGAGAGAGAGAGAGAGAGAGAGAGAGAGAGAGAGAGAGAGAGATCTCTGGGGTTCTCCTTTCTTTTCTGGATCTAGGATGCCCACTTGGTCTAGAGTGGGTACCAGGTACCAGGATACGCCGCCTCTGCCTGGGCCTCCCTCTACTGCCCTCTGCTGCTGGGGGAGCAGAAGGACACTGTGCCGGCCCCCGGGGGCCGCCGCCTTGGAGCCCTTGGAGCCCCGGATTAACGGGCGTTTCTGGCCACGCGCGGTGCCTACCCTCTCCCCAGCGGAATCGCGGGAGGGGCCGGGGCCCGAGCGGTGGTCGGCTCGGGAAAGCAGGGGAGCCCCTGAAAGCGTTCCGGAGCAGAGCGCAGATACCCCACCCCACCGCACCGCACCCCACCCGGGCGCCACTCGCCCGCCCTCTCGCCCCTCGCCCGCCGCCCCTCCCAGGTGGCCACCCGTCTTCGTCTCAGACACGGGGACTGTCCTTCCTGCAACGTGGCAGGACAGCGAGGCCCGGGCGGGCGGCCCAACCCAGAACTCGCGAGGGGGAGCAGGTGGCGCGCAGGGCGGGGCGCGTGGGGGGTGGGGGTGGGGGGGCGCCCCGAGGCCTCTTACCTGCTGTTGAATTTTTCCGGGTGTTTCTCTCGCATCACGTGGAATCGGTGTGCAATGGATGCATCCTGAAAGGGAAAGAGAGCAGGGCAGATGCTGCGTGAGAGGTCCTGTCCGCGTGAGGGGCTGGGAAGGACAGCACCCAGGACCCCCTCCCCCTCACTCCCCAGCCCTGAGGCACCCACTTCAGGCTTCCCTTCCACTCCCCGAGTCCCCCTTTCAAGGACCGGAGTGTCACCAACATGAACACTCGCAGATCCAGTCTCAAGGAGAGAAACCGTGCCCATCACTGCCACAGGTCAGAGTGGAGGCCCTCTCCCCTCCCCAGCCCCCTTGGAGAAGGAAAGTGAGGTGCATCTGTGAGCTATTGGGGCAAAAGCCCAGAGTGGGCTTTTGAAAATACCTCCCATGCTAACTTTTAATTTTTTTTTAAACAACAACAACAAATCTTTTTAAAAATTTGTGAATATTTTAAGACTCACGAGAAGTTGTAAAAATAGAACAGAGTTCCTGTGTCCCTTTCACCCAGCTTCCCCCAGGATAACATCTTACATAACGAGAGTACAATGTCAAAACAGGAGCCTGAGGGTGGTAGTGGCTGTTCTATATTAACTCTGAACCACCCAGAGCCGTGCAAGTGTCGGGGAGCTTCGGATCACATGCTGAGAGATAATAAAAAAAGAGACATTGAAACTTGGGACTTCGGCTTTTCGATTGCTCTCCCCAGCATCAAGTCCTCACTATCGCATTCTACAGGCTTGCTGCTGTTCGGCCGCCTCCTACCACCCCTTTCTACGGGATCTGCCACCTGCCTCCAAGAGCTCACAAGGACTCATCCCTCTGGGCTGACTCTTCAATCTGACTACAACTGTCATAGCCCGAGTCCCTTCTGCGGCCTCCACTCCCTGCAGTGGACCATCTCCACTCCCTGCAATGGACCATTATCTCCATTCCCTGCAAAGGACCACCTCCACTCCCTGCAATGGACCGTTATCTCCACTCCCTGCAACGGACCATCTCCATTCTCTGCAATGGACCATCTCCACTCCCTACAATGGACCATCTCCACTCCTGCAATGGACCATCATCTCCACTCCCTACAATGGACCACCTCCACTCCCTGCAATGGACCATCATCTCCACTCCCTACAATGGACCACCTCCACTCCCTGCAATGGACCATCTGGACCCTCTCCACTCCCTGCAATGCACCACGGCCACTGTCATGCTGGTTCCTAGGTCATGGACATGGTGCTCTCTACATTGTTACCTCCAGAACCAACCTTGAGCTTCATACCTCCAACGCCATCCTCCACCCTTGCTGATGATCTCAGTCATGGACCCCAGGCCCCTGACCTGTGTGGGTGGTAGGCTTTAGGCACAGACAGGCTAGCTACACTGAATGCTGGGGGAGTGATACAGAAACAAAGGAAACTGATTCAGATTTGTGTAGGAACACTGCCCCCTCCACCCCCCATCCCAAATTCATTGACTGGAATATGTGGTTAAAAGAGGCCTATAATTCCAGGCTGTGAATTTTCAGCCAATGCATATTAATTTATCTTCTCCACATGGAAACTGTTTAAAAGAAAATTTCTGAATTTAGAATTTTTTTTTTTAAACTCCAGGAGATATAGCTCAGTGAAAAGCTTATTTTGATGTGCTATGTATGAAGAATAAGTGACAAGCTAGTGGTGGGGATAGAAAGCCTGGAAGCAAATTAGGGGACCAAGGGGAGCTTTTGGGGGAGTATTTGCACTTGTCAGATGAGTAAGCCCAGCTAGCAGCCTACCAGTGAAAAGGAGAGAGAGTGCAAGTCAAGAATTTGGGCAAGTCAGAATTTTATTTTATGGTTGGCAAACACTCCTTGCTGAAATAACTAGCTTTGGGAGTTTAACATTTAAACTCGAGCTATAGATTTATTTATTTTTTTAAAGGCTGACAGCGATGGAGGGCTTGGTGGAAGAGAGGTTATGCAAAGCAGGGGCCTGCGGTCCCCAGGGTCTAGTCAGCCCCCATGGAGACGGCTTTGAGCTCCTGATGGAACCCACCTCCCTCTCTCTGAGGGAGTTTCAGTGAACATTCTGAATAAGATTCCTGAGACATCTGTCAAACGCTTCTCTAGAATTCAAGAAAACATTCCATCTACTTGTGTTCCTCTGAAGCACTCATTTTCTTCTGTCAGGAACAAAGGAAAGAAAAAGCAATCACGCGTGATACTTCACTGCCTCCCGCCCCCAGGCTGCCGGCCCTGGCTTCTCATTCTCTGGAACCTAGGCACCACCCCAGTCTCTAGGCCATTCGATGAACTCTTGTTATTTTCACAATAACGTTTTGTCAGAGATTCTTTTCACGGAGAATGAACTTGACGATATTATTAGTTAAGAACATGGTTCCTAATGTGATAGTGTCATTCCTTGGTAAACAACACAAAGGAACAAGGGAGAGGCGAGCCACTCGTTGGCTGTTCAGCCTGCAGAAAGCAAGGCGGGTGGGCATCAAGGGGGACGGGGTTTTCTTCCTAGGAATACTAAGAGTCCAGTGTCATCTTTCTCACTCTCTCACCTGAGCTTCATGGTGATCACATAAGTCACCTGGGCCGGAGGTGGGGACAGGAGGGAGGGGTGGGGGGAGGGGGAGTGTCCACAGGCATCAACAGCATATGGAACTGGGAGCATTTATACTCAGTTGTGATTTTCATTTGAATTTTGGAAAAGAGTGAGCCAATGGTTTGAAGTATTTTCCTGGAATGATTAGAGCAAATGGCGATTTCTGTCCTCAATGGAGGGACCGGAGATGGCCATCCCCAAGCCGCAATAATGATGATGGGGTCGCTGATAGCCTGACTGCCTGGGGTTCTTTCTAAGAGTTCTGGGTTGACAGCACGGCCACAGCCCCAGAAGCACAAGGGCTTAATGCAGAACCCAGCAGCTTGGAGCAGAAAAGTGAAAGGACTATGCGTTAATCCAGGCAATCATTTCTGCCCAGAGGGGAAAGGGTGTTGCTCCCTTCCGCCCTCCTCCCTCTGGAAAGAAAGATGGCGGCCACATGGGAGCCTTGTGGACAGCAGGTATGAGCCGGGGGAGTGGGGGCAACTAAAACCTCATGGGTCGGGGGGCGTTCCGGTCCGTCCTTCACGCCCTACCGAGGTCACCAGTCGCCCCCCAAGAGCGGCTCTCCAGCACGGCCATGGCCCCAGAAGCACAAGGACTTAATGCAGAACCCAGCAGCTTGGAGCAGAAAAGTGAACGGACTATGCGTTGATCCAGCCCATCAAGTCTGCCGGAGGGGAAAAGTTGTTGCCCCATTCGCCCTCTCCTCTCTGGAAAGAAAGATGGCGGCCACATGGGAGCCTTGTGGACAGCAGGTATGAGCTGGGAGTGTGGGGGCGACTAAAACCTCATGGGAAGGGGGGCGTTTCGCTCCGCCCTTCACGCCCTACCGAGGCCACCGGTTGCCCCCCGCGAGCGGCTCTCCAGCACGGCCACGACTCCAGAACACAGAAACCAATTTCTTAACTATCTGACTTTCAGCAGAAATACTTCCAGGGTCAATAGGTAAAATAGCAGAAATCCAAAACCAACATTTAATTCTTGAACCCAGCTGTAGAAAGCAAATCACTTCACAATGCTTTTTCAGCATGTCTGATTTGGGGGGGGGGGTAAACTCTAAATAATAGTGGTGAATCTTTTATTGGAACAATGAATCTAATCAAAGCAGATAGAGTGTTAACTAGAATTCATCTGCCTCACAGGGACGGGGAGGGGTGGGGGGGTGGGGTTTTATTGGGGTTCTTCATGGTAAAAAATAAGTATTGGTAAAGGGAAATGTGTTTGATATCTGCATGACTGAGACATAAACCTGAAAGCTTTGTAACCTTTCCCACAGTGATTCAATAAAAAAAAAAAAAAAAAAAAAAAAGAGTTCTGGGTTGAGGAGGAGAAGGCAAGCAGCCTGACCTGTGATTTTTTTTTTTCCTGAGCTGAAGCTGTGATATGGAAGGGAGGGATAAATTGCAGTTTTTGCTCTTCTCTCTATATATACCCTCTGCATTAATGCTTTATCTTGATGTCTTGTTGGAGTGATGGGGAAGTTAGAAACCTGAGCAGGTCACTAAGCACAAGGAACCAGGAGGTGGGAGCTCTGAGCAGCCCGTTTGAAGAACCTGGGAGAGAACTGGTCACAAATCATAAGGCTTTTGAATTAGAACAGAAAGACTCAAACCCACCTGCTCCCTGGCCAGGGGAGTGGGGCCACCGAAACCATTAATAAATTAATAAATGTGTCTATGGGACCTAAAATAGAATTTATCTATCACAAAGATTCCCAGCAACAAGGGACCCCTCTCTAAGTCCCATGTCATATTCCTCCTGCCTCAGTGTACCTCAGTGTATTGTGAGGAAGCACCCCATCAAGACACCCCATCCTTATGCCCTTTTTCTCTTTGTTTCACCATTGTTATGACCGCCAGAAAAACTTCTATAAAAACTGCTCTGGATCCTTGTTCTAGGCCACAATTTCAGGGGATCATCTAGTCACGGTCTGTCTTGGCGTTAAATAATTAAATCTTCTTACTTTCTTGCCTAAAACAGTTTTGGGTGTAATCAATTAAGCAACTTCCATTACAACAAAACTTCACGGGTATGGATGGATAAAAGATTGTTGTACTTCTTGGATTCTATGCTGCTGAGTTGCCCAGCTTAGTGCTGCCCAACTGCAATAATTTAAAACATTTTCTAGATGCCAGATCAAAACTAATGTCATTATATTTGAAGCAATAACTATTATGCAACATGAAGTTATTGTAAAATATTTTTAGAAATTTATACCAACTTCCTAAATGTTTTTCATGTCTTTATGGTTATAGTATCTCTCAGGTAAGACCGGTCCCAGTTCAGGAACACAGCAGCCACATGTGAGCACACAGGATGGTACAGGACTAAAGCACTTTGGCGGGGGCTGGAGCAATAGCACAGCAGGTAGGGCATTTGCCTTGCACGCGGCCAACCCAGGTTCGATTCCCAGCATCCCATATGGTCCCCTGAGCACCACCAGGAGTAACTCCTGA